CCAAACATTCTTTAAATTCATAAGTGATGCCATGTAGTCTGTGCTTTCAAAGGCGTTGCCACATATAATCTGCTTTCAAAAGTAATGCCATATATTCAGATTTTCATGTGCTAAATATTATATATGTTAAAAAGTGGCGCCATGAATCGTGCCATATATTATATACTGTCAAAAGTTTTACACTTTTAAAAATGGTGCCATGTACTCTGTTCTTTCAAAAGCGGTGCCAGGATTTCTCTAGGTTCACAGTAAGTAAAAATAAAGGACCCTTTTCCATGCCTTTAGGCATTGAGCGCTAGACCTATATTTGTATAGACCAATCGGCACAAGATGAGTCATGTGGTCAGCATCACGCCGATGTTCACAGTGGCAAGATGCAAATATTATTTTTTTTTTTTATTTTTAAAATGCAAAATCTTTAGACAATGAGAACTCTTCAACATGCTTGTCAACAGAAAGCAAACATCACTTAACCAAATCAGGAAATGATCTTTATTGAATGAAACACCTAAAGAGTATATTATTACAACTAGTATCTAGTACATTACTAAAGTCACAATGTAATTTTAAAAAAAAAAAAAAAAAAACTTTAGACATGACTAACTACCTATTTTTAAATATATGGTTTTAAAGTGCAAGAAAGACCTGAAAGCAGAGATAACACATCAGCGAGCTGTCCAAATAGTCACAGCAACGGATATGGCACAAGACAGAAAATTAAAACTCTCCAAAAAACTTGATGGCAGGCAGTAATTAGAAAACTTCGTCAGTCCTGGGCTCTGTTTCTGGCAGAACACAGTAATGGCACCTTCTTCTTTCAAAGGCATAATTTTTTTCGACACTACTGTAATAGACATTTTGTGATAAGTACAAGCTCCTACCTCTTTCTAGGACCAAAAAAAAAAAAAAAAAAAAAAGCTATTTTTATGCCTCTGTGTCTTGAGGCCACAACTAAAAGTATAACACAAGTGACCAAGGGGGTTGTTGTATGTGTGTTTAAAAGGAAAAAAATGAAGTGTAAACAGAGGTAAATTAAACTAAGAAAAGAAATTTCAATTGAAAAAAAAAAAAAAAAAAAATAACTATTAAACAATTTCTTTTTAAGAACAAAACAAATAAAACAGCCTAGATCTGACATGTTCCTGCAGCAGTTACAAATCTCCATATCCCTGCAGTTTTAACTGGCAACAAACAAGATGAACAGTTCATGAACCTACACCAGCAGATGTCAGCAGTAAATGCCATTTTTATTTTATTTTTTACAGACATTGCCATCTCAGTTCATAAACTTATGCAATAATTATTACAGATACACAGTGGACAGTTTCAGTATAAATAACGAGATTTCAAATAAGAACTTTGTATGTTACAAATTTTTAAGGGAAAAAAAAAATTAACAGTGTACTTACATTCATAATTGCTTATTTTACAGTGTCCTTAATGTGACTTGTAAAGAAATGTACATGAAGCATTTGTGTGTGGAATGCTACTTACAGTAACCGTTTGCAGCCTACATAGGGTAGATACCACTTGTACACTCGACAATAATCCCAAAGCCGTGTAGGGTATGCTACTGATTAACTCATTTTTTAAAATTAGCATGGGGTAAATAGCTAACAAACATTGTCTGTAAAAACATTTGAGTATTTTAATAATACAAATGACCTCCAAAATTATTCAAGTGATATACATAACCTCTGAAATTATGTAAATATTTTTTTAATGATATACATAATCTTCAAAATCATTTAAATCATGCTCATGATATTTAAAATCATTTAAATGATACCAAGGAACTCTAAAATCATGTAAATGATACCCAGGAACTCTAAAATCTGTGAATGATATACAAGCCTTTCAAAATTATGTAAAAGATACCCAGGAACTCTAAAATCAGATAAATGATACCCAGGAACTCTAAAATCATGTGAATGATATACAAGCCTTTTAAAAATATGTAAATGATACCCAGGAACCCTAAAATCATGTAAATGATACACAGGAACTCTAAAATTATGTGAATGATATAAACGCCTTTTAAAATTATGTAAATGATACACAGGAACTCTAAAATTATACAAATGATACCCAGGAACTCTAAAATGATGTGAATGATATACAAGCCTTTTAAAATTATGTAATTGATGCTTATGATCGCTAGAATCATTTAATTCTTATGAATTACCTTTAAAATTATGGAAATGATATCCAGGATCTCTGAAAATATTTTATATGATACTCACGACTTCTTAAATTAATTAAACAATATACGTGACCTCTAATATTAACACTGAGTATATTAATGATTAATGAACCTCTAAAAAAAGTATCTCACAGTATGCTACTGACAAAATTCACCTCTAAAAGTGAGCACAGAGTATACCAAAGATAAGCTTTAGCATTAAATATGTCAACACTGATTAGATAATTGAGTATATTAAACCTATAAAAAAAAATCAGCAAAATGTATATTACTAAACAACATTTATGGCTAAAAAAAAAAAAAATCAGCACAGGGTACATAGCTGATACATTTTACCTTTACAACATTAGCACACTGTTTACTGAATGATACTTTAACTCTAGAAATTAGCATAACATATACTATGATTAGATGACTTATTGCAATCAGCATAGAAAATATTACAGATAAAATCAACCTTTCATTAAGATAATGTATTTTAAATGATGTGCCTGACCTTTACAATAAGCATATCCTGTACTGCTGATTATCTGACCTGTTGAAATTAGCATATCATGCACTACTGATTAGATAACCTGTTGAAATTAGCATAGCATGTACTGCTGATTGTCCGACCTGTTAGAATTAGCATAGCATGTACTGCTGATTATCTGACCTGTTCAGATTAGAATAGAGAATACTATTCATATATTAAACTTTTTATTAGGAAACAGTATATTCAATAATATACTGGACTGCTGAAATTATGTAAACGATAAACACAATCTCTAAAATATTAATTATATAATTGTTACTGAAATAACGTACTTGACTTCTACAATTAGAACAGCGTATACTGCTGTTTAGCAAACCTCTTGAAATGAGCAGAGAACACAACTGATATAACCAACCTTTTATTAGCACATGGTGCATTCAGTGACATACTGACCTCAACAAATCAGCATATCCTGAATTACTGATTATATGACCTCTTTAAATTAGCATAGAGAATAATACCACTTATGAAATAAATAATTAATTAATATTGATAATTAGTTTGAATCAATCTCAACACTTCCTAGCTTGATCTGTACACAAGTGACAGACATTTGGCCTGTACAATTATTATATATAATCTACAGATAAACCGGCTTTCAAATATCAGCATGCAGTATATTACAAACTTTACCTTTCAATTTTAGTAGAGTAGAGTGTATTACTGATGTACTAGTCCTTCAACAAATTAAAAATTATTATCACTATCTACACTAATATGCGTGGATTTTTATCAAGGTATGGGGCATCGCAGGTTGACCCAGCCTAAAATGGGTACTAGGATGTATGTTCCGCGGGAAGTAAAGACAGCCGGCGCAATGCTGACCACATTACCCACCTTGTGACGATTGGTCTGTAAAAATATACAAGTGCTCTTACCATATGCCTGATGCACCTAAGACGTGAAAAAGGATCTTTACTTTTACTTACAATAAGGTGCTGGCAATGACTCTTGAACAGACATTTTCTTGACCTTAAAATATTGATACACCATATATTTATGTGAAACTTGACTTAAAATAAATAGTTCACTGATCTACTTGACCTTAAAATATGAGTATTGTGTATACTATTAATATACTCACTGGTCTTTAAATATTAGTAATGTGTATACTTGACCTTACATTTTAGTAAGTATACTTGACCCTAAAAATTAGAGTTTACTATTAATATATTTGTCAACATCTGTGGCTTAGGCGTTGTGAACGTGCTTCGTAATGCCGGAGTGTCAGGTTCGAACCCAGCTGCGGACAATTTGCCTTGCAGTGGTTTCAACAGTGATACCGAAAGCTGATCATTCAGAAGCAATGGTAAACTACTCAACCTAAAATTTGTCTAGCAAAAACAACAACAGCCAATAAATGCTGGGGTCTGTTCTGGGGTCCCGGAAAGTATTTGCAATTAACTTTAAAGAAAAAAAAAGAAATATACTTGACCTAACCACTGGACGTAAATTTGCCTAGAAAAACCACACAAAAGCCAGGGGCTGTTGGGGTTGTTTTCGCAACGTCCTGTAGAGGATAAGCAACTAACCTATACTTGACCTTAAAATATTACATAGAGTTTACTACCGATAAACTGGCCTTTAAATATTAGTTAACGTGTATATTTGACCTTACATTTTTTAAGTACACCTGTCCTTCCATATTAGTTAAGAGTTTACTACAAATATACTGGACTATAAAATAATTGTATACATAGAACATACTACTGATACAAAGACCTTTAAATATTAATAGTGAGTACACTTGACCGAACGTTTTAGTAAGTATACTTGACCTTACATATTAGTAAGAGTTCACTACTGAAATACTCGACCTTAAAATAGTAGTATAGAGCCTAATTATGATGTAAAGAGTAACAAACACTGTTAGTATCTACAGGCGCACTGGCTTTTATATATCGGTATACAGTAGACCAACTAACTTTTGAATAATGGTACAGAGTATATTTCTGCTTTAAATATCAGTGCAGAGTACATTATGGTTAAAAATTATCTTTAGAATTAGCATATACTCAATAACCCCTAGTAAAAGATCTATACTTCTGGCTTGTGTGTGTGTGTGTGTGTGTCCTAAAAATGTACTTTCATTATTAGCGGACTGTTTTGCTTTTTAAAAGGCTCAATAACTTCACGGAGAGCATCAGACATGTAATGGAACAAGCTAACACAAGTAGCCTTCAGCATAGCCAACGCTATAACCATATCACATATGAAGAAGTGGGTGGGAGGGGAGCAGTTCTATCTATTCCGCAGCCAGTTTCATTCTGGTGCTGCTGTATGCTGCTGCTGGTGATGATGCTGAGACTGCTGCTGATGGTGCTGATTTTGGGAAGGATGTTGGTGGTGGTGTTGGCTTTGGCCCGGGTGCTGCTGCTGATGTTGCTGATGCTGCTGTTGCAGACGCCGCTGCTCACCAGAAGCACTGTGTGCATCCAGCATCTCCGTCAGCAAGTCACAGAATGTGACGCTGCCCTCCAGCTTCAATCGCTGGAAGTAGGTGATGCCACGCTCACCTGCCTGACGAATGTGGGTCAGTAGCAGAAGTATCGATGGTGCATGCCGCAAGTTGCCGTAGCCCTGGTGGCGACCTGCAACCTCCATGAAAACATCTAAAATCACTTGTCTCATGTCCTGAATTTTCACAAAGCTGTCCATGGGACGCACCTCTGAAAAAATATATAAGTATATACATTAGTATATATAGTAAATGTCACAAAGCCGACACATGAGTAATCAAAAGAAAAAATTTCAATACTGATATCACTGAGGTATGAAGTGATTTCACACATTCTAGGCCATGGGATGAGATGGGGCAGCTAGTACTCCTATTCAGCACCTTTATACAAAAAGGAAAACGAGAAATTAACAAAGAAGACACAAACAATAGATTTACTACCTGGCAGATGTAACGGTCTCTCGACAAGTGCATATTACAGTAACAATAAAACAAATGAAGCAAATAAGTTAATCCTGTATAATTGAAGTACAAATTTAACAAAAACCCCCCCCCCCCCCCCCCCCCCCCCCCCCCCCCCAAAAAAAAAGCAACTGCCTATTTTTACCGCTGCAAGTGCAATTTCAGAACCATGTCATTTTGTTTACACTATTTTTACTGCAGTATTCACCTGGCGAGATACAGAAAATATGCCAGGTAATAAATTATACAATCTATTGATTGTGTCTTCTTTGTTGAAATTTACAACGGGGAACACTGCTCGGAAGAAATTAACAGCCAAATTAAAATGGAAGGGACAGAAGGAGACCCATTTTATGGGAACTGTGTTAGTTCCAGAGCTGTATGTGTTGAGGAAAAAAGAATCCCATTACTTCCGGGGATTGAACCTGGACCTCTGTCTTTGTGAGCGAGGACACTAAACACTCTGCTACTGCGTATAAAACCGATTTTCTGATCACAACTGAAACATGTCCGGTAATTGCTATCCACAGTTTTGAAACGCTAATAATCCCAAAACAAATTTAGAAGAAACAATAAAGGCATGCATACACACAGCCAGATTAATGAAAACCTTTCTAAGCTGTCTGTTTTGACATCTACAGCAGGCTTGTCTCTGCTTTCATAACACACAGGTATTGAGTATATATACAGAACCAAAGGGCTCTGTAACTCCTTCCAATCCTGCCATCTGTTAAACGTCAAGGAAGGTTCTGGGGCCAAGTCATTATTGCCTCAAGCTGTCAAGGCTGTGTGCTTGATTTCAGACTCGCTCCTTCAGTTCAGAAGTGTGTCAGAATACCTCAAGATGGAAGTAGGTGGGGAAGATGAGGGGGGATATTTACTTGAGCTACAGATTGTGCTTTCGAGTGACCAGCCACTCTACAGGTAGACTAGGTCATATAGGGCAATACCTGTAGTACATGTTGCAGATACTCTTGCATTAAAAACACATTATGTACATAAAACCCACACAAGAATGGACGACTCACCTGCGTTGACTAACACTGTAGCCTGCAACAGAAGAAGCTCCTCTTTGTTAAGGCCATGGAGGACCATTTGTTCTGACACTGCAGAGACTTGCTCTAAGACATCACCCATTCCCGTTAGGGCCCACTGCTGTCTGCGATGACCACAAAGTAAAAAGTCTTGGATCATAAAGTCAATAACAAACTTGTCAATGTGCAAAATGCAACTCTGCATTTAATGTTATACTCTGGTGAGGTTTTGTAACAAATGACTGACTGACTGATTGATTGATTGATTGGCCTCTTTCCGTCTTTCCAGATGATAGTGTTACACTGCACCATGAGGAGGTATGGAGTTCACAGCCCATGGCGATGGCGAGTGTGACTAGCAAGACAATACTATAACAAATACAGTAATAACATAAATCTATTCGATCTTTTTCTTCAGCATTCTGACTCCTTGAGGTTCACTGGTGCAGAATTAAGAATCAACTTCACAGCACTCGGGACACTTCCATAAGCGCTCCATCCACATCTTCAGTAGCAGGCAAAGAGTTCCAGTTCTGATGGTACTAATAACTGTCTGATTGTACACTGCTGCAGATATCACTTGCCTCCATTGACCTCTCTGATTAGCCAACTTTTTCTAGTTGGCGACTTTACTGTTTGCAGGTTCCCCTGAAATATTACCTCTCCTCGTGCATCCACCTCCCTTTTCCAACTCTTTTGCGTACAGTTTCTGTCTCTTTTATTTGGCTATTCGCTCTATATGCCCCGATCTCTGATGTCTATTAGCTTTTATGATGAGAGTAATCAGCGTGATTTAAACAGATTATGAGTTCAGTGTACAGTGAAACAATAATTAGATCTATATATGGTATGCCAGGAATATCGGTTGGTGGACATATTGTTAACAATCTGCAATATGCTGACAATATCATATACATATATATATATTATATGATTGCTGAAAATGAAAGAACCAATTGCAAGAAATGTGGATATAACTGTAACAGAAAGTGAAAATAAGTGTCTTAGTTTAAACAGCGGGAAAAAAAAAAGAAGAAATAATTGTAATTACAAAAAAAAACCTACCCTCTAAAATGCTACATCAAAGTAAAAGGAACAAACCTAAAGCAAGTTGACATGTTTAAGTCCTAGGGTACCCTGATAACATCAGATAAAAGTTGTATTAAATAAGTTAAATGTTGAAAAGCTGAAGCATAGGCTGCATTTTACAAAATGAAGAATATTTTATTCAATCTTTCTCTGTCATCTGAGATGAGAAAAAGAATTCTTAAAATCTATATAAACCCTATCTTGATATACAGAAGTGAATCATGCATGGACAGTTGATAAATTAGTCAAAACTTATTTGAAGCTGTGGAGATGTGGTTTTATAGATGAATGATGAGAATACTCTGGATCGATTACCTCGTCATCCCCTTGTGGGATGCAATTTTTAGTTATCTTGAAGCCCCACCCTGGCTTTTGCCCGGGGCTTTAAAATATAGCTGGGCCTGAAATATGGCTAAACGGATGAACGGGGTTTCCGGTACCTCTCCACGGGTTATCCTCATCCACATAGTGGCACAACCAACATAAATACATACAATACTCTGGACAGATAAAAAGAGTAATGAAGATTTTCTGAAAGAAACTGACCCACGAAGAGAACCGATTGCCCACATCAGAAAGAGACAATCTTTATTCATGTGTTGAGATGGAGAAAACTGGAGTATATTGTGACAGTAGGAAAGTTGGAGAGGAGAGACAGAGGGAGACCGAAATAAAAGATGCTGGACAGTCTGACATCAAGGCACAGAGGATCTTCTGTGTCAAGTGTTTGTTAAAAGACAAGGCTGTGGATAGACATGACTATCAATGCCACATGACATGGACTTTAAAAAAATGATGAGTTAAAAGATTTGCTAAAAAACACTTTCCTCAAAAGTTTGTAATACAGCTGTTTCTTTTAGTTGTATTTCAGGTTTTAGCATGAACAGGATATCTGGTCTTATCAGTGTTTTACATACAGTGATCCTGGTTTTATGAGCATTTGATGTTAACCGGAAACATTTCCATTATTTCAGAATAAAAAAAGAAATTTCAATTCATAGCATAAACAAGAGCAGAAAGATAACCATTTATGACATCTTACAATAGAGGAATAACTGCAAACTCTTTCTGAACAGATTCCCACTGAGGAATCATGGGAACTTCTTCTTTCTTCTTCGCGTTCACCAGCAGTAAACTCTGGCAGAAAGTTCTGGTTGCTCGTCCACTACTGAACTGCAGTCCTGCTCCAGAACTTGAGTGTTGCGTGTGCATCAGTTTTACAGATCTCATTCTCTTGAATTCATACTGTTGGTTCCTTGCCTCTCTGGCAGATGCACTCCGACTTCAAAGGAAGCTCCCCAATTAGTCGACTCTTACGACATGCTTTTGGGGAGGCAGTGGGTCTATTCTTGTTTTCTCCACAATGGGGCCCCGGAACCCATAAGGGGGCTCATGGGAATTGTCTAATGACAATGTACCTTTCTAAATGAAAGTCAGGGGCAAACACAAGCGTCCGTCCTTTGTATTCCATGGAGCGGAAAGCACAGTTGAGAAGCAGTAGTTCCATCCAGCAACACTCAATCAGGTGAACTTGGTCACTCAGGGTCAAACATGTGTAACCTAAAACAGAGAGAGACACAAAACTGTCATTGCTACACCTCATAAACGGCTAAAACATCACATCTCATCCCTGGTCACTCAGGGTCAAACATGTGTAACCTAAAACAGAGAGAGACACAAAACTGTCATTGCTACACCTCATAAACGGCTAAAACATCACATCTCATCCCTGGTCACTCAGGGTCAAACATGTGTAACCTAAAACAGAGAGAGACACAAAACTGTCATTGCTACACCTCATAAACAGCTAAAACATCACATCTCATCCCTGGTCACTCAGGGTCAAACATGTGTAACCTAAAACAGAGAGAGACAAAACTGTCACTGCTACACCTCATAAACGGCTAAAACATCACATCTCATCCCTGGTCACTCAGGGTTAAACATGTGTAACCTAAAATAGAGAGAGACACAAAACTGTCATTGCTACACCTCATAAACGGCTAAAACATCACATCTCATCCCTGGTCACTCAGGGTCAAACATGTGTAACCTAAAATAGAGAGAGATCCCTGGTCACTCACAAAACTCATTGCTCATTGCTACACCGCATAAACAGCTAAAACATCACATCTCATCCCTGGTCACTCAGGGTCAAACATGTGTAACCTAAAACAGAGAGACACAAAACTCATTGCTACACCTCATAAACGGCTAAAACATCACATCTCATCCCTGGTCACTCAGGGTCAAACATGTGTAACCTAAAACAGAGAGAGAGACACAAAACTGTCATTGCTACACCTCATAAACAGCTAAAACATCACATCTCATCCCTGGTCACTCAGGGTCAAACATGTGTAACCTAAAATAGAGAGAGAGAGAGAGACAAAACTGTCATTGCTACACCGCACAAACAGCTAAAACATCACATCTCATCCCTGGTCACTCAGGGTCAAACATGTGTAACCTAAAATAGAGAGAGACACAAAACTGTCATTGCTACACCTCATAAACAGCTAAAACATCTCCTCATCCTGCTGTAGCATAAGACAGGAGAACCTGGCTTGAGTTGGCTGAGGGCCTATTCTCCACTGTGGAATCTAGGGCAGAGAAAAAAAAGGACTAGCGTCTGTTCATTTATTCTGTTCTTCTTCCTTTCTAGCCCCCAGTGGAGCATAGGCCCTCAACCAACTCACGCCAAGTTGTTCTATCCTTTGCTATCGCATGCAGCTCTCCCCATTTTTCTAACGTCAATTTCCAGCTCCCGTCCCCATGTTTTTGTTGGCCTTCCTTTATTCCTTTGCCCCAGTGGTTTGGTATGAAAAGAAATTATAGATATATTGTTCTCCAGTTTTCTCAATGTGTGTTCTATCCAACGCTAGTGTTTTTTCTTCACCTCTTCGTCCACTGGAGCTTCCTTAGTTCTCTCCCAAAGCTCTGCTTTAGTGATTCTATCATATCATTTAATTCCCTCTATTCTGTGCAGGCACGAGTTAACGAATGTTTCTGTTCAACACTATAGACTTTTCCATTTCATGGATGGAATCCCAGTCCAGCATCTTTCACTGCTCTTATTATTTGTGTCTTTGACATCCTAGTTTATTTGTGTCTTTGAAGTCCTAGCTTCCGGAACCTTTTCTCTTGCAAGTGTCGTGATTCTCTGTCTCCTCCTCCTTAGGATGTATCTAATACATCGCTTTTTTCTTATTCTTACGTCTGTAGGCACCACTTCTTCAGCCATCTCTGGTCATGCACATAATCCACTGTAGGCCATAAACTGGGATGTCGTCTCAAGATCTCTTAGGTTTTCCCAAAGCTTAGTTGTCAGGTCTACTGGGTGTTCCATGTTGCTCCGCAGCTCTGCCAGGAGATGACAGTCTTGCAAGACAGGTTCTGGAGTCTGATCAGCACAAAGACACTGGCAGAAAGCTGTTTGGCTCATACCTAATCTATAAGAGTGTTTATTAAGTGCAGTGTCCAGTGCGTAAGCAAAAAACTGTGATTTGGTCTCTTCTGTTCAGGTGTTTGAGGAAATCTTTGGAAATGATTATAACCAGTGTTCGTTTTCTAATCTGTTTCTAGTTTTCTCTTAATGAAGGTTTTGACTTCTGGGAAATATAGCGGCTGGTAGATTTGTGGTCTGCTGCTGCCTTCCTTGGTAAAGCATCAGCGCTTTCAAAGCTCTTGATGCCTTAGTGAGATGCAATCCACTGCAGGTGGGTTATTGCATTTTTTGACAGCAGTAGGCATCACCACTGATATTTCATTGCATTTCTTCAAATAATCCCATTTAATGTTTTAAAATCATATGATCCAACAGACACTGGAACCACAAAGCTTGTCTTGACAGCTAAGTGCTTCTTTTCTTTTCCTTACTCCGTGCATTTTTGATCACCAGTCTGCCCAGTCTTGTCTTACATCATGGCACTCATTTCTGATACAAAAGTTCTTCCATGATATGATACCAAACTCTTCTCTCTCTTTGTCTACTCCTGCCCTCTTTCCCTCAAACTTTCCTATAGTTGTGATAGTAAAGGACCCGTTTCATGCCTTTGGAGCATGAGCCATAAAGGTAGCTAGGTAGTTAAACCTCATCAGGACATCACACAAGCGATAAACACCCGGTGACACAAAGTGCCATTATGCGGATGAGAATCACCCATGGAAAAATCCCACAAACACCTTTCAGCCGCTAGGCCATATCTATGGCTAGGTCATATCGATGCCCCGGCTATATTCAGGGCCCCAAACAGAAACCAGGGTAGGGCTTCAAATAATAAAAAATAGCATCCCACATGGGGCTGACTTTCTATGAGCCATAAAGTACTACACCCATATTTATAGACCAAATGCACTATATGGGTGATGTAGTCAATATCGTGCCTGCCATCTTTATATCCCCAGGAAATTACCTAGTACCAATTTTAGGCTAGGGCGACACACTGTAAATTTTAAAAGGGAGGAAAAATCTGCTTCAGTGTGTGGTGTGTGCATGTGTGTGTGCGCACGTGTGTGTGTGTGTGTGATATGTATATATATATATATATATATATATATATATATATATATATATATATATATATATATATATATATATATATATATATATATATATATATATATATATATATATATATATATCAAAGAATGGATTGTCTTATAATATGAGTGTTTATGTTAATACTTTTATATATCTGTCAACCATGACAGAGATGTGTTTTATGACAAAAGATGAGAATACCCTGGACAGATAAAACACTCATGTTATATCTGCTTACCATGATGAGTGCATTCGGAAAAGAAATGCAACCAAAGGATTGGCTTCAGCCAATAAGGGCACAAAGGAGTTGTCTATGATTGCTGCAGAACTGGCTTGGTTACTTTTAGGACACCATGACAATTTTTAGGACACACAAGTCACTCTTTTCATACGAGACAGACAAGAAAACCTTCTGCGGTTATGTTTTCAAGCAGTCTCCCTCGCACTCTGCAGACCATGAGTTCTTCTGACAGACTGCGACATTCATATTATGAATGCAATTTCTGCAGAGAATCAGAGGATCTTCAGTGAATCTACAAAGTTCATGCTGTATGTAATATTTTTGTCAGGAGGCAAGCTTATATGCAAAGAAAGACAGGCACAGACATATGAGATAACACCCACGGCAAATGAAGCCGATCCTCTTGATTTTAAACACTTTGTTAGACAAAAGAAAGAAAAATAAATCACCAGGAATAAAACTCAGTCTATGTGCCAAGTTGTGGAGAATGGAGAGCGAGAAGCAAGAACAAAATTCATAAATTATTTAAATGACCACTAATTACTGTTATCAAGATTGTTAATAGACCGCAGTGGTTGGAGCATATGTTATTGTTCGTCGACCACAGGGGATGATGACCAGTCCTTTCATCTACTGGACACTGGATTAGGTTTTGTGAGTGCGCAAATGGCTGAAAATACCTATTCTAGCACTGAAATTAAGGTCTGAGGGGTGGATAAAAGGATGATTTCCGCTATGATTTTGATCTAAGTGAGGAGGAGTTCTGCAGTTCATTGACCTCATTCTCTTGCCCAAGTCCACCTAAACCCAGAGCACATAGAGAGAATGGCAGATAGAATAAAACTGCAAAAAAAAAAAAAAAAAAGTTAAAAAGACGTAGACAATGAGCCAGACCAAGAAGAAATAAACAGGCAGACTTAAAACACTTAGAATCATCAATTGGAAATCTCTGTGTGGGTTCCGGGGTCCCATTGTGGGGGAAAAAATAGACCTACTGTCTCCCCAACAAGCATGTCGTAAGAGTCGACTAACTGGGAGCTTCCTTCGAAAGAGTGCATCTGCCCCTGAGGCAAAGAACAGACAGTCTACATACATAATCAGATCTGTAAAACAGATGTGCATGCAACACTCAGGTTCTGGAACAAGACCAAAGTGCAGAAGTGGATGAACAAACAGAACTTTCCACCAGAATTTACAGTAAATAAACATGAGGAAGAATATCAAGTGGAAAAAAAGAGATTGTTTAATCATAGAGATGAATGGAGGTGGTATTTATGCAACAGTGAACCTCAATGGCTTGGAATGCTGAAAAAGAAGAAGTATTGTGCCAGATGGCTAAGACACTCACCTGGGACATGCTTGGCCCAATTAATGAGATAAACCAGTTCTCTGTCAGCCAGCTTGATCAGCGTGTTCAGTAGGTGCACCCGCGTGGCGGGCAAGCTGTGGTTATGGTAGCTCTCTAAAACGGGAAGGTCAGCTTTCTGTAGCGCTTCTAGGATGGATGCACTCCTCGATCGTTTTGCCGCCTGCAACAATGCAAAACAAACAAATTTATATGATATAGCAATTTGTTATTAGTGAAAATATGTAACTCATGGGTGTGTTAAAAATGTACCATAAAATGCTGGGTGTCAATAGTCTTGAGTAGTTTTAAAGTGTTACCTTTCTCAAAGATTACTTATTTTATTAGTCAGAATGCAGCTGTAGGCAAACAGGCGGCAGACCGCTACGAGTTGATGTTGACAACTGTAAGAGCATCATAACATTTAGAAAACAATAGCAAACTGATCAATTATCATTCCTTTACAGAACATCTCTCATCATAGCATGCCTCGACTTGACATTCAGTCTGTTCAATCAATCCTCATCGTGCCCAGAGGCACATCAGGCAGAGACAAATTGTCGCCACTCAATTCGATCCTAAGCTATCCGCTCTATCTCCAGTTTTGTCCTTTGCGTAACCTTGAGTTCATCCTCAAAGATTCACCTTCAAGTGCCTCTGGGCCTGCCTCTTCCTTGCTGTTCTTGTGGTGTCCATTGCACTGTCTGTTTTGGCCATGTCTCTTTCTTAATTCTGAGGACGTGTCTAATCCAACTCCAACTTCGTTTTTGGATTTCTAAATTTACATCTTCTAAGTCTGTCATTTGTTGTAATCTAGAATTGCTGATTTGATCTTACCATGTGAACCCAAACAATCTTCTGAGAAGTCTTCCCTCTAAACCCCTGAGCATGCTCTCTATCTTTCTGTCTGTTTTCCAAGTTTCTGCTACATTGAGAAGAACTGTCCTAACACATGGACGTCATGTACTTCGTTTCGCATATTATTATACAAACAAAATGTAGCGAGACTTTAAATACATGCTCCTTATTCAAGAAATGTTGCTAATTTACATAATTAATATGCTTCTTCAGTAAACAGCTTTACGTTAACGATATTTCAATGTAATTCAATTACATTGCTGTGAAACCTTGAACAACCGGTGTAAACAGCCACAATGGCGGTACGCTTTTTCGTCCGTTGAGGCGAATGGCGCAAATTAGCTATTTTCGCTCACGTATAATGTGAAAGTTTCATCGGAATGGGGTCTGAACCGTGCAATGGAGTACATGCACGTGAGTTTAGACTTCCCTCAGGGTGTATTCGACGTCCGATGGCGTCTATTTACCAATTCAAAACAACCCGTAGGCGGACAAGGAGAACGCGAACAGGCAAGCACGGTGGCGCCTGCAGGAAGCGGCTGAAATGTGAGAGACTCAGTTTAAAGTATGTTCGTGTTCTCTACTGGAACTGCGCTTCGTTCAGTCAACGCCGACCCATTTTTGAGAAGCTCCTCTACAGCAACGACATTGTTGTCCTACAGGAAACACACCTCGGTGACGAGATCATTAAAATTGCGGGCTTCCAATCCTTCTACAATAGACGGCACCTCGGACAGCTCATTCTTGTTCGTGACCACATACCGGTGTCTGAGGTGGACATGTCTAAGTGGAATAATGACGACCTACAAGTACACGCAGTCAGAGTGATGGGCCCGGCCCAGTTTGTGATTGTCAATGTGTACGCCTGCAATGGAAAGGTGGATACAGCGAAATGGCAGAGTTTGCTCCAGACGGAGGAAAAGAAAGTCCTTTACTGCGGAGATTTCAACGCCAGAGGACACCATGGGGCAATGTAATCACTAATAAACAGGGGAAAGACCTGGAGGATGCCATAGTGTCTGCCAATCTAGTATGCTTGAATGACGGAAAGGTTACCCGAATGGCAACACGACAAGGGGATTCTGACAGCGTAATTGACCTGGCCCTAGTGTCTCCCTCCATTGCATCAGGATGCAGGTGGAGCACACTGGGATACCACGACAGTGATCACTTTCCTTGCGTCGTCCTGGTAGAGAAGAGCAACAACAAAGGTCATGTAATCAATTTGCCTGCTTTTATATATGACCGTACAGGGCAAGATGCCATTAGCAAAATCCGACGACGTAAAACAAGAGCAGATCGCAGACGGCGGGAGAGATGGGCCCAGCCACCATGGTGGAATGAAGTAGTCAACATGGCGTGGCTAGAAAAAAGGAAAGCTGTCAAGGCATGGCAAAAGGCAAGGAAAATTGATCCGTCACTTTCTGAACGCCTGATCAGTCTGAAAGATGAGGTCAACAAGCAGACAGTGGCTTTCAAGTTAATTGCGAAGGAAGCTAAGACAGCGAAATGGAACGAATTCTGCAAGAGCGTTTGCTCCTAGGGATCTCTTGTGACATTCTGGCGCCTTCAACGGAGCCAAAACGGTGCCGCACAACCAAGGGTTATCCCTGATTTTCAGGGTACAGACCTGATATGGCAGAGAACTGATGCTGATAAAGGAAAAACCCTTCTGGCGCGCTACTTGGAGCAAACTGACCAAAAAGACGAAGCTACAAGAATAGGGGTTAAGATGAAACTGTCGATGCTGTGCGAGAACACTGTGCTAGGCACTGATCTCACAATCACTGCAGATACCTGAAGAACTTGCCTCAAGAAATCGTGCAGCACTGCTCCAGGCCCTGACGGCATCCGATACAACGACATGCTGATGGTGTGTCAAATGCTGATTTGAAAAGCGTGGCAAAGGAATTCAATATCAGCATCCAGAGTGGCCAGATACAAGAGGAATGGCTCCATAGTTATTTGTTCCCACTACCAAAGCCTAATAAAGACCACTCAAAGATCTGCGGCTACAGAATCATCTCGATGCAGAATACTGTTGGCAAACTTTTGGAAAAAATTGTCGCACAAATATTGACCACCTACTTGGAACTACATGATAAGTTCCCACCAACACTTGGAGGGTACAGGTTAAATAAAGAGACATGGTTCAATGCTGCAGTTTTCGCCTACGATGTGTACGAGGGATTTCAGATTAAAGAAGAGACATGTGCGGCAGTGTTGGACTTAGAAGATGCCTACAATAAAGTACCATTACGATTATTTAATGCAATTACTGCTTAAACTAGAAGTTAATCCTATTCTGATCCGCTGGATTGCTGCGGTCCTGTTCCAGAGAAAGATTGTACTAAGATGTGGTAGCTGGTCCTCAGAACCGCAAACGATATGTCCAGGCTTGCCACAGGGATCACTGCTATCACCAGTCTTATTCAACGTTTATACGGTGATGATCACTGAGCAGCAGTTGAATGGAAAGGGGAGGACTTTGTCATCTGCTGATGACATTTTGATTTATCGACGAGGGCGTGATAGACAGAAGATCACCAGCACTATGCACAAAGAACTCGATCGAATTGCCGCCTGGTGTGATGGTTCCAATGCCTATGTCAATCCTTCGAAGGCATCAGTGTCATGGTTCTCTTTGAACAATCACATTGTCAAGTCTGACTTACCAGAAGTGAAAATGCGTGATAATGTATTGATCAGAACCAACGTTATGACGTTTCTCGGGGTGAGGTTCGATCGCAGCTTGTCATTCAGGGAACACGTTGACCATGTGATAACAAAAGCACGCAAAGGTCTATCTGCAATGAGGATTATGGCTGCTTCCAACATTGAGCAAAGACTACTAATACTTCTATTCTACGGTCTGGTCCTTTCCCCCATTGAATACGCTCTGGCCATCCTCACTGTCAGTGCTACCCAGATTGAACGACTCGAAAAGGTGCAAAATGAAGCCATGCGCATTATTTTGGGATGTACTAGAGACACATCCTGTGGAGCAATGAGGTATCTACTTGACTTTCCAACAATGAACCAAAGGATCAGGATGTGGAGGGCTCGGGCATATCTCAAAATATGTGCTGATAAGAAACACCCACTGCATCAAGCGCTTTTTAGTGAAAAGGGCGACAGACTGAAGAGGGGGAAATCGTGGCTAGGCCGGCAGCAGAAGATGTTATTAGGCAAATATGCAGCCTAACCGACATCATACCTGGTGCAGAATGGATACCTGTGCCTCAGGCGTTTATTTGTACATTTTCCTGTATTGTCACACTCAACAGGCGATGTAGAGAAGAGAATCCTGTTGCTGTTAATGCAGAGGTCAACGCTCTCATCGGTGAAAATTCAGACGAAGCAGATGCAATAATCTATACAGACGGATCCGTTATACGCCCAAAGAAGAAGCGCATGGGCATTTACAGCACGCTCAGCGGGGCAGAACAGTCAAAGAAGCCAACGGCGCCTTCTCCATGACAACCAGCAGCATGACGATGGAGGTGATGGCAGTTGACCACAAGCGCTTGCCTGGCTTGAAACACAAAAAATACACCCGCGTGTGTATACTCAGTGATTCAATGAGTATGATCCGGAGGGTTCAGGCAGGTTCAGTGCGAAGACAATGGCTTGAATCATTACAGAAGTCCACTGTCCGTGGAGTCACCTTTATTTTTGTTCCGGGATACGCAGGCGTCGATGGAAATGAAAGAGCTGACAGGTTGGCTGTATCCGCTATCACTACCGACAGTCAGCCTATGGATCATGCTGATATTATCAATGCCCTCAGAGAAATGGGAAGGATAGACGACTTTGGTGGCAGTGAATCCACATCACTCGCCAGAATGGCAGACTTGGGAATTAAGATCGGCATAGAACTGGTACTATTAGCCATCGGACGTTGGGGTTCATACTGAGCACCTATGGACATGTCCGGAGTGCAATGAGGATAACCCAACTAACTAACTAACTAACTAACTAACTGTCCTAACACATGCTTTGTATATCCTGTGTTTAGTTTTAGTGCTGTAAATGTTTGATCTCCAGACACTCTGAAGTCTGTTGTAAGCAGCATTTGCCTTTGCAATTCTCTGCCTTATTTCAACCACTACATTTCCATCCGAAGAGATATTGCTTCCCAGGTAGGTGAAGTCAGTTACTGTTTCCAAACCTACATTATCTATTACTATAGGTCTTTCACTCTTGGGGTTTATCTCCAGCAGTTTTGTTTTACTGACATTGATTCATAACCCTGACAATTTTGCTATTTCTGTGATCGTATCTGTCTTTTGTTTCCGATGTTCTTTACTCTGGCTGATGACACAGGTATCATTTGCAAAGTCCAAATGTTCTAGAAGGTTCCATGTGCCTGTAGTTGCTTTCTTTGTAACATAATCTATCATTATGAGAAACAAAAGAGGTGAAGGAATGCACCCTTGTCGGACTCCTGATGTTACCCTGAAGTATTTTGTTTCCAATCAATGAGTCCTACTTTCACTTTCACATTGGTATCCTTCTGAGTTCTTTAAATGTGTTTATAACTTTATCTGGTAACCCATACACAGCAAGGATCCTCCACATCATTGTTCTATCTAGATTGTCAAAGACCTTTTCAAAGTCTATAAAGCTTGTATTGCATTATTTCTGAAAGTGAAAATATTTATATAATATTATTTAATTCTGAAACCTGCCTGATCTTTCGACAAATCTCTGTCTACTAACGTCTTCATTTGGTTGAATACCACCCTACAGAGTGCCTTTCTGAGTACAGACAATAATGTTTTGCCTCTCCAGTTGTTGCAGTGGGAGAGATCACCTTTCTTGGGTAGTGGGATGATTACACCATTTTTCCCACTTTGTTGGAACGCTTCATTTATCTATATTTTGTTGAATATGCCATGTAAAGTGGGTCGGCCTTTAACATGTCAGCACTAATTATGGTCTACACCTGGTGCCTTCCCATTCTTCATACTGCTTACTGCAGTTTCTATTTATTTAATGCTGATTGGCCCAATATCCATTCCACCAAGACATTTAACATGGCCAAAATTCCTCAAATTTTGGAACAGGATGCTATTTATGAGCCTATTCTCCCCGATGCTCAGATTATGAAGGATGACAAACTGCTGAATGTAGTTCATTAATTAAAAACGAATTAAAAAAAAAAAAAAAATTATAGTCACTGGCGCACTGTGCTAAGATTAAGATGCCAAGACACACACATTTTTTATAAATCAATTGCACTTGATGGATGTGGGAAGTCGCAGTGGTGATGTGGCTAGAGGCTCGCCACCGATGGAAGGTCGTGGGTTCGCTTCTTGGAGGAGCTAGCCTTTTCTCAAAAATGAACTTGGTTCCCAGGTTGACCCAGCCTTGAGTGGGTACTGGGTGCAGTCCCGGGAAGTAAAAGCGGCCGGCGTGATGCTGACCATATCACCCATTTTGTGCCGACTGGTCTATAAAATAAAGGTCTAGCCCAATACGCCTAAAGGCATGGAAAGGATCCCCCTTTTATTTGATGGATGATAAGGTCGCGTGAGCGGCGTGGGGAACATGTGGCGGGGGGACACTCTCGGCGGTGGCAGAAGTCGCCAAAAGTGCGTAACTTAAGTCGCCGGAAGTACGCAATTGACACGTGATTGAGGCCCTGTTAGGGTATATTTTCTGCCTCGATAATTTGAGACCGTTATTCAGGAGCTCAAATTTCTTTCCATGATATCTCCCGCTGACCAGTTAGACTGGGTCATGGCTGATTGATCACCAAAAACTGAACCAAAAGAATTAAATTCACCTTCAAAGATGAGGCTCCGCTATTGGTTGAGTTGACAGTAGAATCTGAAGAATCTGCCCTGCATCGTTTGCCTTTTAACCCTCCAGTTGCATTGCTGCTCTTTCTCTCTTTTCTCTGACTCCCTGTAATTTCAGAAGCAGGTAGATAATACTGAGTTTAGAATTATAAGATAAGTCAGTAAAGGGACACCACAGGCATTGTTGTAAAGGACCAGTCTTTAACAGCAAGCACATTGTGTCAGTACAAATGGTGTTATAGCCTGAAAGAGAACTATAAAAAGTTATGTTGTTATTGAAATGTAATTTTTTTTGTAATGTGACTGTCAGTCATCTCACATCAAGCTATACTACCCTTCTTATCTCTTGAAGCTCTTACATTTCTTATCTTTTGAAGCTCTTACATTTCTTATCTTTTGAAGCTCTTACATTTCTGATCTTCTGAAGCTCTTATATTTCTAATCTCCTGAAGCAATAACATTTATTATCTCTTGAAGCTCTAACATTTCTTATCTCATAAAGTTCTTACAATTCTTATCTCTTAAAGCTCTTACATTTCTTATCTCTTGAAGCTCTTACATTTCTTATCTCTTGAAGCTCTTACAATTCTTATCTCTTGAAGCTCTTACAATTATCTCTTGAAGCTCTTATAATTATCTCTTGAAGATGTTACATTTCTTATTTCTTGAAGCTCCTACACTTCTTATCTCTTAAAGCTCTTTCATTTCTTATCTCTTGAAGCTCCTACACTTCTTATCTCTTGAAGCTCTTCCATTTCTTATCTCTTGAAGCTCTTCCATTTCTTATCTCTTGAAGCTCTTACATTTCTTATCTCTTGAAGCTTTTACAATTCTTTTCTCATAAAGCTCTTACAATTCTTATCTTTTTAAGCTCTTACATTTTTTTAATCTCTTTAAGCTCTTATATTTATTATCTCTTGAAGCTCCTACCTTTCGTATCTTGGTTGGTTTTATCCATAATGGCACTGTAGCTTAGAGGTTAGTAAAATTGTTTCCCAATGCAGTCCTAAGCATTCACTAAATTTCATTTCCCACTGTGGTGGTTTAAAAAACAACAACATATCCATTCTGAAGTTTTTAGACAGTGGTAAAGAAGTAACACCACTGATGAGATTTGGGCCTCACAACTTATTTCCATGGTAACCAGTGGATACACTGCAGCCAACCTCCACTGAGGAGACAGAAGCATTTTTTTAAATGCATAACTGGAAGCAACTTAATAGGCAGTCTTCATCTTCTTCTTTGCTCTACTCCTGGAATGAGTCACTGTGTTAGGGGAGGAAGAGATCGCAGAAACAGGCCCTTCCATCTGCTTTGTATATAGTACTCTTCAGTGTATCTGATATTTCTGTGGTCCGTCTTCTGCGTAGTTGACCTCTAGCTCTCTTACCATTGTGTCTGTACAACACTGCTCTCTGTGGTGCCCTGTCTGATGCTAGTCTTGTGACTTGGCCAAACTATTTGATCTATTGTCTAACGATAAATCTTCTATTGGTTCTGTGCTTGACCTCCTGATATCATCGGTCCTAAGTTGATCTTTCCTTGTTACACCTAGCATAGTGTATAAACATGTTTTTATGTCATTACTATTTTCTTTCTGTCTTCTGATGACAGTGTTTCAATGATACGTCTTATTTTCATTATCATTTCTGCAAGTGTGTTCATGTGTGCACATAGACATATATAATACACTTAAAAGCAGAACTGTCGAATGCTAGGTATGGGTGTTGCATGAGTTTCCATACATAGCAAAAAATAACATGATGAATCTGCCCGCATTTTTTCCTGTCAGGGCCCATTCATGCAGCAGCCGTTTCCATGGGCTGTTCTATGTTCTAGAGGTGTCTCGTCGTGTTATTTTCAATGCTCTAAGCATACTATATTCCGTGTTGTGAGCGGCCAGCAGCATGTTATATTTTCCACATTGTTGTCAGCGGTCAGCAGCACTGACAATGCTCTTTATCGCTATCACTGCAGCCTTACTCGGACTTGAATTGCGAGATGAATTTCCCTAAAATGTCAGCATTGGCAAGTGACAAGCAGAGTAGTGATGCTTTTCTGCAGCACTCGTTGTGTCAGGCCTGGAACGATTTTCCACACACTGTGTAGAGATGGCTAAACAGGGGAAGGAATATGCTAACACCTTTAGAACATAGAACAGCCCGTGGGAACGGTCACTGCATGAATGGGACCCGACAGAAAATCTCACGCGCCGGCTAATGTGGGCAGGGTTACGTATCCATATCACTAATGCCATTACACACACATCTCCAGCTATGCTTCTATGTGTTCTTCAGCAATGGAGGACACACATCGAAATTTGTTTTCAAAACAATGAATCGTAGTCATGTAGAGCATATAATATTTTTAAAAAAATGGTTTTCCTATATATGGAAACTTAATGGACACCCTGATGATGCAGAAACCTAGATAATGAAAAAGTAATTCAAAAAAAAAAAAAACTGATCGCTGCAAATATTGACATAAATATGAAGAGTTAGTATAGCGGTTCTCAACCTGTGGGTCACGACCCTTATTTGGGTCGAATGACCCTTTGATATGTGTTGCCAAAGTCTATCGAAAAACACATACTTAATGAAAAAATAACTATCCAACCATTTAATTCCCTCTAATCTGCATAGGTACCAATTAATGAATGTTTTGTAATTTATTAGTAACTGTTTTAGTTGGGCTTCCATGTTTCTGCTCCATACAACAGTATTGATTGACATTAGAATTAAACATTTAAAGTTTAATTTTAGTTTTTTTTTTTAACTCCATAAACTTCCTAGTGCTATGAAAGCTCCTCTTGTCTTTTGTATTCATATTTAAATATCTCAGCAGTTCCCCAATCTTTATCTACATTACTGAAATTTAAGCAATAATGACATTTTTATAACAGTCCTTTTGAGGACTATATTTTTAATCACAACACACTAAATGCCTAGCCATTTTGAATAATGAAGCAATGAACCAAACCTCAGCATCCTGGTTGGCGCATTTTTGTAAAAGGAAACAGCCAGTAACAGGCGTTAATAAGCTTCCTAACCTTTGTTCATGCCGACCTCATAACACCGCCGTAATCTACACGCCTGGCAGCTTTTCCGCCTGTGCTTGTCTATGGTGCAGGTGTTGGTGGCCGGACAGATGTAGTCAACTGGACCTGATGAGCAAGTAACGAAATTCTCCCATTCAGATGACGGAGTCTGACAAATGCCATACATACGTTAACAGTAGCGACTATACAAGTTAAGGAAAGGACACTTTTCCACGGTGTACTGGGCATATAGGGCTGGGCATATTTTATAGTCCAATCGACATCATGCCGACTGCCTTTACTACCCAGTATTGTACCTCGTACCCACCCAGGCTGTGTCAGTCTAGGAGTCAAGGTAATTTGAAGGGAAAACACAAACTGGCTCTGCTAGGAACCGACCCATGACCTTTAAATCCGCAGGCAAGCTTCTAGCCGCTACACCACAGCAGCCGCCATTAAGTACTATACTTAATGAAACAGGGAAGACAAAGAATGTTAGAATCAGGCAACAAAACTCCTGAAGCGCAGAACCTTTTTCAATAGCAGAGTGATAGGATTAAAGCACTGTACACAATCTGGAGGCCTTCATGGCGAAGGGGTCATGGCGTTTGCCTCGTGTCTCTGAAAGTTGCAGGTTCGTTTCATGGCTGCGATGCTCAATTCACAGGTGCAATTTTTTTTTACAGAGATCCTTGAGGGTAATCGCTGGAGCTGCAGAGTTTGTACTTTGTATGATGTTTTTGGAGGGCAGCTAGCCCTTCTGTGGAGAGAAACTGAGCCATAAGGGATAAAAACTCAATGTGCAATGAAGCTTATCCTCTCAACTTTAAATTTAAATGAATTTGACAATATTTTCCAAAATATATTACAACTATTTTAAAGATTGATTTGATTTGATTCAAGAACCAACATCACAGCACTCGTGGCATTCCCATTAGCACTCCGTCCCCATCTTTAGCAGCCAGCGAAGAGTTCCGATACTAATGGTGCCAGGAGCATTCTGATTAAACGTCTGTCTTGCCTTTCCTCTGAGCCTCGAGCATCTGCCAGAACCTCTTGTCACCCCCAACTGCATCAATCTCACCAGACTGTGGTATAACTATTTTAAAGATACAATTATAGTTTCAATAATTTCATTTATATAAAAGAATGTGGTGGCAAGCAAAGTGATTTTGGCAGGTTCTTGATCGACATAACGAGACAAAAAATATCACTAACCTTGTATGCTTCTCTTGAAGAAAGCCTTACATCCCTCACAAGACCAAACTCCATAGTGAAAGCCCGATGCAGTGTCACTGCACACCTGGCACAGCTTGCTCTGGATGCTGCTGCCTGGCACTAGACACCAAAGTGGACAGTGGTCAACACACGAAACTTACTTATCTTTGTGAGTCCCAAAGAACACATCATACGTTCATAGATTCCTACCTAGAGGCCCAATGAACGCATGATGCGCCGATTTTACGTCTCTCTTGACTACCCCTTGGGCCTGGGATGCTAAACCCCCTGGGACTCAAAGAGTTAAGCTAACAGAAGATTGAACAATTGAGCCCCAAGACAGACAAAATGAATGTTCTACAATCAAATTTTCAGCACCCAGTCAGATTATTTTCAAAACCGACCTGGGCTTCCATGTCAACTCAGCTGTAAATGGGTACCAGGTAATGTCCTGGGAAATAAAGGCGGTCAGATCACCCACTGAGTGCTGATTAGCCTATAAAAATATGTATTTATCAACATATGTCTGATGAGGCAATTGCTTAAAAATTATCCATTACTTTTTCTTCTTTACAAATTCATGTTTAAAAACATTTACAACGACATTTAGTTGTATGTCTCATTCAGAAAATCATAAACCAACACCCAGCATGAAGTTTTACTGGGCAATGCTAGTTCAGTAGTTTGCTATTGCCTTCTGTATGGTCAATGACCATACCACTGTCAAAACCAATACAAGTTGCAGCGCATTTTTCTGAAAGACAAGACACCAACAGTCGACACACAAATAAGTTAAATCTGTAAAATGGATGTGCATGCAACAGTCAAGTCCTGAACAAGACAAAAGACTAGACATGGACAAACAACCAGGACTTCCTGCCAGAGCTCACAGCAGGTTACGCAGAAACATGGGAAGAAAAATAACCCATAATAAACTGCTGTAATTTTTCTGCTGGCTGAGTGCGCATAGATTCAAAACCGTATCAATAACGACAGTCCAAAATGTATAGAATAGTGTCATGGGAAGTAATGACATATGACACTCTCTACATACCCTGACAATTGCTGATTGGTCTATAAAAATATGAGGCCAGCACCATTTGTCCAATATGCATCAAGCCATGGAAATGGGCCTTTTAAACGTTTTGAAGTGTCCATATTTCAAAATCAGTAAACTTTACCCACAAGAAAATATTTGTATGAGGAAGAGTGAAGGCGAAGCTGATTTACTGACACATATATCCTTGTTTTCTTCTTCCTCTTCTTTTTCAGCAATCAACATTTGCTATGTGTCTATTCCAATATGGATCACAAATATGACGGTGATCGAGGGTACCCCACTGTCAGATACCTTTTCTGGCATCACCGACAGAATTACATTTAACAGGGTACTAGTTAAACAAAGAAACCAAACCTGGCATCTACAGGAATCAAACTGAGAAACTGGAAAGATTTTGCTGAAGTCGACGATGAAGCGAGGATTCGAACCCGGGTCTCCCATATGAAAGCCCAGCGTTCTTCTAACTGTTCGGCCAGCCGCTCCTCGATAATGACCACTTCCTCTAACAAACTCACTGTCCACAAAATACAGGCAGAGCACATGTTCCATTTTCTACACACTGAGTTAGTTGACAATGCTATGAAAGGAGACGAACCCAAATACTGTCCTGACCGGTCGACAAGAACCATGGCATGCTCTTTGTCTGGGTCTCAAGAAGAGATGCAAGCCATCGGAAAGCCGCTGTTACTGCCTCCACCTCCATTCTCATACTGGATGTATAGTGAAGCTGTACGTGAAGCTCTCTGTTTTCAAGCAGTGACCATTCACCTTTGCAATAAAACCCCACCCACTCTTCTTACCTCTCACTACAGACCCATCTGTATATATCATGATGTCACCTGGGCGTACATTTTCATTGATTAGCTGTTGCACTATTGATTCTGTTTCACCAGCTAACAATTTTGCAGCCTCTTGGTTCAAGGTAACTATCGCTCTGTGTATGTCTGTGTATGTGCTGGGTGGCACTGTAACACATTCTTCACCATGTGCTATCTTGTTAGTAGCACAAACAGTTCTGATCGTGACTTTGGTCTGTGCCATCTGAGAGCCACCTTTTTCCAGCCGTTATCCCTTAAGGCCTCATGCAGACGGTGTTCCCTGCCAGTTGCGACTTTAAGGTACATATTCGCCTTAATACCTTGTATCTTCCATATATGGATGATAATGCAAGTATGTGCCTCACGCACACAATTGAAGTGTCTCCTGTACACTCCAAAAGTACTTGCATGGCTTAATTTTGTATGCGTTCCAACCTCTCTATTTGGGTATGAGATAATGTTAGCAGCCAAGACGAGACTCCATCACAGAAATAATCAGTTGCTGCTAAAGAGTATAGTGAATTTTCTGTTCCATGTCCGCTGATGACATCACCTTTGAAGCATTGAGTCCTTTCCCTATCTCTAAAACTACCTCTTCCACATGGTGTTTGAAAAACAGACTCCTGTCAGAAGTAGTTTCTAGATATTTTAGTGAATTATCTCTCTTTATGTTACTGCTGTTTATTGTGATGTCCGGCAAGACTTCTCTAACAACTCTATTATACAAAGGACACCACAATGCCACCACCTTATCTGGGTTGATGACCGAACTTGTTTCCTCAACTCACACACTGACCTTATCTGCATCCTAATTACATTATATCCTAATGGGTTATCTGTAAAAAAAATCTCAGCTTAGTGACACAGTAATTAGAATTGTCTTAACTCTCTCAGTCCCAAGCAAATATTCAGTTAAGCTCTTCTGACTTAAGGAGCTGAGCTTAAAAGCAATAAATATTTGGGTATGAAGGATTTTAACGAGATGTTGAGATAAAAGCACTTGAAACTAATAATTCGGACACGAAAGGTTAATATAACATCTGTTGGCGATAGAAGACATTAAGAATATCAAGTTAATGACAAAGAAACGTATGATCAATAGTTTGATTCTGAAAGAGTTAACCCGGTCCCATACTACAGAATTTTTTACAAACATTTTCATCAATGACAAGTAGAGTGTTAACAATATACAAGCCATTGGAAATGATGAACAACCAATGCTTGATTCCAGGAAGATCGTTCTGTTTCCATCTTCTGCAGCAAGCCAAGAGTTCCAATTCTGATGGCACCAGTAACTGACTGTAAATCTGTCTCGCCTTTCCCGTGAGTGCTGAGCGTGGGACAGATCTCCTTGCAACTCCCCACAGCACCATTCTCCCCAGACCGTAATCATCTATCTATGCCTCCCCACTGTTCAACAGCTCCTAAAGAGGCCTCACAACATCCAGCCCGTTGGCAAAGACAGCAGAAGAAAAACTACTGTCTAGCAACAGATTTTGTTTCACAAACAGAGACCCCTGTGGGGGTTCTGGGGTCCCATTGTGGGGAAAACAAGAACAGACCCACTGCCTCCCCAAAAGCATGTTGTAAGAGTCTACTAATTGGGAAGCTTCCTTTGAAGTCGGAGTGCATCTGCTGGAGAGGCATGGAACCAACAGTCTATATTCAAGAGAATGGGATCTGTAAAACTGATGCACACGCAACACTCAGGTTCTGGAGCAGGACTGCAGTTCAGTAGTGGACGAGCAACCAGAACTTTCCGCCACTGTGTACAGCTGATGATCGCGAAGAAGAGGAAGAAGAAGACAAACAGTGAGAAAATGTGACTCACCCGCCCCTCCAATCTCAAGCTTCATGTGTGACGTTGGGCTGGCACCAGTCCCAGTTCCTCTTACATCTAGAAGAAAGTTGTGATGGCTGGCACCTGTCCCAACCTCAGGTGTTGTAGAGGTTGCCGCCTGCAGATGAGCAGATCCCTCACAGTTGTCTCCGGAGCTCCCCAAAGGAAGCATGCATGAGGAGGGAGAGACCATTCTTTCTTCCTCTTTCGGGGACTTTCTGTCAACTGGCTCTCTGGAGACACAAATATATACATTTTGTAAAATGTCTAGAGTATGTCTAGTCTATTAAAATGCAGCTGATCTTCAGCTAGTTTGACATTATTATTGCAGGAAGACTTATCTTGGCAATAAATGCTTGAAAAAGATGTGTTAGCTGAAAAGGTGCAAATTCATTGGCAATGCGCCAAAACCACACAAGTGCTAAATCCTTGCCTTGAGAAAACTTCCTTTGAACACTGAATGGTAAAGTGTAGTTGCATGAAAAATAATAGGAATCTTGATTATCCAGGTTTTGTATTATCCTGCCTGGCTTTAAAAAATTTTTTTATTTCAGTGATGAAATAAGGGAGCCGTCATGGCATTGGCGGCTAGACGCGGATCGGAAGGTCGTATGTTCCCATCCTGACAGAGTCTGTCTTTTTTTCAAAAATGACCTTGACTCCCAGGTTGACCCAGCCTTGAGTGGATACCAGGTGCAGTCCTGGGAAGTAAAGACGGCCGGCATGATGCTGGCCACATCACCCGCCAAGTGCCGATTGGTCTATAAAAATATAGGTCTAGCCCTATATTCCCAATACGTCTGAAGGCGTGGAAAAGGGACCTTTACTTTACATTTTAGTAATGAACTAAGGGTTAATTTAGTTTGCTAAGTCGTTGCAAACATGTGTCACGCGTGCGCATAACATAAGCGGAGACATCAAAGCATGGAACCCCCTAACTAACTAACTCTCTTCACTTCGTCAGTTATGTATTAGATTTCAACACACGCTACTGTTCCTGGTTACTCTAACAAATTTGTGAATGGTGCCCTTCATTGGCCGTTTTTTCTAATAACGATTATGATATGGGCCATCTGGAGAAAAAAAAAAGTTGTAGTTACTATAGGGGAGACTAGGCACTATAAAATGATAGGGGTAGTGGCAAAAAGCTACTGCTTCAGAGGTAGGAGTTGGGAAAAGTACAGATGGGACACCGGAAGACAAAGTGAGCAGAAACAAAAAGTAGAGTGTTGCCCAATCTAGTGGAAGTGGAATGAAAAAGTAAGAAAAAATAATAGTGAATGGTAAACATAAAGATGCTGAGGAAGCTTCATTTTTTGGGCATGAACACTTAAGAGGAAAAGGCTTGCCTGTTACTTATTCTGCCTTTTTATCCTCCAATGGAGCATATTCCTCAACCAACTCATGCCGAGGCGTTCTATCCTTCGACATTACATGGAGCTCTCCCCATGT